ATTTCCACAGTCACTTTAACTCAAACACACGCTAGAATTCACAACGATTCACGAACTTAATTTACAGCTTGAGTCGATTATCTGTCTCTATATCTCTCTGTCTGCAATCTTCTATCCCGTCACTTCTTGCCGGTCTTATATATATAAGAATAGAGGGCGCGTAGAGAAGACTAGAGTTGCCAGGAACAGACATGATCCTTCTAGAATCTCATGACGTGTTACTAGCGTCACGTGACTTCCGCAGTCGGAAGAGTATTTACTATACATTTAGAATGCGTTTGTACAATCTTTTGTCTTTCATTGTCCGGCCTAACTTATGAGTTTTTGTATTGAACAAAAATATTATTGGGAGTGACTTGTGGGGGACAAAAGATAGACTTAAAATTATAATTTTTTTACACTCGTCTGATTTCGAACTGCAATAGAAAACTTAAATGGAATGTGAAGAAAAAAATTGTGTTTAACTTATTGTGATAATTCTTAGGCATATTCGCTTTTAAAACATATCGCTAGTTGTTTTTTTCGTTTTTTTTTTTTTGCGTTTGAACCGTAACTTATAATACTTATTTTACACTCTTGTTGCTTGAGCTTATATTTTCTGAGAGTTTCTCCAATGATCTCATTAAGTTACTAGCTCGAGTAGCCTTCCCCTGGGCGGAAGTTATGTAAATTCATGATTAATAAAAGGTTATCTTAGGATACGAAAAGTTGCTTCCCTTATATGTAATTGTAAAAAACGAAAAAGCACCCATGAAAACAGCAAAGCACAAAATGTGAAGCTGCAAATCAATTTGAATTTACCCAAATCAATCTAAGTTATGATATCTTTTTGTTGTCGGTCGTTTTTTAATTTATTGGATTCAGTTTTTACTACACATTTTTGTCAATTGAGTTTTATTTTGCATTCTTTTTTGCTAAGAGTTTTATCAGACAGTTATAATTTATATTTTCTATAAATTATTAATTAAAGACAAGTTTCGTAATAATCTTTTTACTTTTTAATTAATAAAGTGATCACCTGGTGATAATTTCTGGCAATTTTTACGTCATATACTAAAAACCGCGTTCTTCTATAAACTCTTTAACCTTAGATTCATGCTTACGCGAAGTTTGAGAAAAACTTAATTTAGGGTTAACCCAAGTTTGAACTGTACTTGAAGTTTAACTAAACTTTAAAGAATGACTTAGAGTTCGTTTAAATAAAAATCCGAAATTTCTCTCTTAGGTTAATTTTAAACTTTGTGTTACTCGTGGAAGAATTTAATATGCTATTCATATTGTATATATTTTCAAGTGAAAAGTTTCTCTAGTCTGAGGCTGAAGTCTGTGAAGATATTTTTTGAAATTATTGTGATTTTCGTTTTAAGCTGCGGTAACTTAAGTAAGTGACTAATATAATAATTTTAATAATAGTACTCGTGTGCGTACTATGCACTATGTTATAAACTTGTAATATAAAAGTTGTGTAATTAAAAAAAATCATTTAACGAGTAACGTGATTGTATAGATATAACTAACTTATAACAATTACTTAATGTTATTGTTAGGACTATTGAAGTTTCATAGATTTAACCGAATTTTTCAGTCATACTTTACAATTTACTTTTCTAACAAAGCTAAAGCAACTGCAGTAGTTATTAGTCCTGGTATTTGAATTTAAATATATAAACCTGTTTGATCTGTTAGTGCTAAACAATGTGTTTAATTTTAAATCTGTTTTGACAGCCCCCCAGTATCACAGCGGTATGTCTGCAGACTTACAACGCTAGAAACCGGGTTTCGATACCCGTAGTAGGCAGAGCACAGATAGTCCATTGTGTAGCTTTGTGCTTCATTACAAATAAACAAACTGTTGTGATAAATCATCTTAAAAGCTAAAAGTTGAATTTTAAATTGAAAGCTATTCTTATCTTAACAACTTGGAATATTTTTATAATTACATTTGGTGAAGTATATTGTGACTTTAAAAATATATTTGATAGAATGATGCATCAGGATTTAGTGAACTTGTGGAATAGTTAGAAAGATTTTGAACTTTGGTGTTAATTGCTTTAGTAGTAAGAAACATAGTATGCTAGTAAATAGGTATTTTTCAGATTGATAATTTGAGTAATGGGGCCCTCTTATACTGTTATAGGTTGTATTACTGCTTTCTTGTGTAAACAAGTTAGCAAGCTTCTTTCAACATACTTCTATTTCTATTAAGAAAAGCCGATTCCAATGAGAATAGTTAGTTTGTACAATAGCAATGACTAGTATGTGAAAGATAAGTTTTAATATTGAAAAATGTAAAGATTGGTGTTGTGGAAAAAAAATAATGATTTATTTGTAATTGTTAACCCTATGTGCATGGGTGGAAGTCAGAGTGTGCATATCATGACCTTTTACAGAGTGCCATTCAGAATGATATTTATTTAATTTCAGAAATTATCAACTATTCATGTTTACCCTACACTGCTGATTCAACAACAGTTCTTGATAGAGGATACAGGGACACTGAAAGAAACTACTATCCATTTCTGAGGCTCTAGAGGGTATGCAATATGGTTTTCTAACTGTACAATGAACAAAAGTTTTTTTATTCTTTGTGTGAACATCACCTTGCACTCTGACTTGTCTGAGTCAGACTGACATTATCAATTCACATACAAATCTTGAGTGCAAATACTTTTGTAACACATTAATTTTTTTGTGTAGGACAAACTTTCAAATTTTCTAAAAGTGTGCCATGCACAGTTGGTTAAGCGTCAGAACCAGTGTGAAGGTACCCAATTGATGACCAAGGACAAAGTAGTCCTAGAAGCATTTTGAAGTTTACTTGTTATCCATAATTATGATCTGGTAGAAGCTATTACATAATTCTATTTGAGAACAAAAAGGTTATTGTATCCTTATACAAAAACTGGTGAGGCCTAATTTTATTTACTGTGATTTGGAAATATTACTTGCAAAATATGTCTCCTTGGAATACTGAACTCTTTCCTGATATAAGTCATGTAAGGTATCAAGAAAGGCTTAGAAACTCTTGCACTTTTTTATAATGGAGAAGAGATAGAAGATTTGTGTTAGCAGTTTGAAATGTTATCCTCATCTTAATGGGCAGATTCAATCCACAAGTTTCCAGTTAAAATTAGAGGAGACCTATTCAGATGTTAAAAATTGGTCTGTTGGTGTTGAAAAGTTTGAAACATAGACAATAATTTCAAGGGAAATAGGTTTAATAGTAGAAAAGCTAGATACTGAGTTACTTTTTTTCCTTGTGTGCTCTTTTAATTGTTTAATAATGGTTGGTTAGGTGAAAGTGAAGGCTTTCATTTATCATGAATGTTTTTTGCTAGTTTTTGAGGGTGGCTATTGTGGGTAAAATTCTATTCTGTCAGCTTGCATACTTGCTCTTCTGTAATTGTTAATTAAATTGCTGAAATCCTAACAAAATCGTTAATGCCATTCAGAAAGAAGACATGCTCGTGAGTTTGAAGCTTAATGCTGAAAAAAAAAAACTGTTTAGAGAATATGAAACTACAGCCCATCAAGTTGCTGGAAGACATACCAGAAATCTGTGGAACTAATAAAACAGTGAATTACTCACCACTTGGTAAGTTTATTTGTTAATAGAATTGTCCAAAAGGTTATTGAACTACACACTTTCATTATATATGCTTGTTGACACTATATGCACATTCACTACTGTTTGGGCCAACATTTTCTAATCATACAGAGCCATCAAATATAAAATCAGACCTCTCCTGCCACGCCCACTTGTCATATCCTCTGTTTTAGGATTTGTCAGTAGTTCTCTCTTACGTATATGATTATATTAGTTATAACCAATTTTGATATGAGTGGATACCTGATTTGATTCATTTTTCCCAACTCCACTGTAAAAAGGGTAGAAGACTTTTTATTTAAGTAAATAAATTGTGTTCCACGAGATTAGCAAGACTTGGTTATTTTGTAACAACCAGTTTTTTTCTTATATTAATTGCATGGTGTATTTCCTATAAACTTTATCATTCCCTCTGTAACAGATTATATTGTCACACATCCAGATATAATCTGTGCATGTTGATAAGTGGGCAAGTTGATATAACTTAATTAGATTATCATGTGTAGTGCATACTCTTTTTCTTATGCAATATATATAATAGACAAGAAAGAAAACATGCTTAATCATCTACATACTGTCCTCAGATTTTGCATTTATAATCGAGTTATAGCAGTTAATTGTATGAATTCAAACATTTCATGCTAGAATATTATCAAACTAAAGAAATTTAGTTTAATTGATTTTGTAGTATATAATTTTTATTGCATGTAAATACATTAATTTTTTTCATATAAAGGAAGTGATTTATTTGCCCAAGAGAAATAAAAAAAATTTTCACACACTCAAAGCTGGTGGTAAACTTGAGGTAGTTTCCTTGTCTGTTTGAGACCTACGTGCCCTAGAGTTTCAACAACGTACCGCCTTTAATGAATTTACCCATTTGAATGTGGTGTAGCTTAGGTTTTTTTGTGGTGAAACCCAGAAATGGAAAATAGTTTTTAAACTGAAATCCTATTTTTAGCACATAATGTATGTGGTAGAAGATAGTACTTAATGGAGTTTGTGCTAGTTGTTTATTTTACCTTTTTGCAGGCTTTGAAGCTTCCTTAAGGCTTGCTTTATTTTGTTGCGGACATTTTTTAAATGCTGCAATTAAAGTGATAATTCTTCAAGTACCATATGCACGTATGTATTTTAAAAATGGTAATATTTTCTTGCAAAAATTTGTTTTTACATATGACTGTATATTTTGCGTAGTATTAAGTGTTTCACATTTTACAATGTCAGAGTAAACAATGTGGCTTGATATATTGAAATGAAAAGCTACTTGTAAACATGCATAAAGAAATACCTGTGTTATGTCAAACCGTTATGAGGAAGTATTTTTAAATTTGCTTTAAAATGTATAGCATTCCAGTAAGAGTACAAGAATTTCATAAATACAGATAAATGAATTTCAGAAATTATGAAGATGACTGTTGTCTTCACTTGAAGATAACTGAAGTGAGTACAGCTGAAAATGAAAGTTTTGAAGACTGTTGCTGAACCAAATGTGTCAGTAGATGGAGCCACAACTCAAGAATAAATATGCTCAAGTAAATTTTAATACCTTATGAGTATTAAAGATTTACAACATTGGCTTCCATAATTTGCTTAATGCAATAATATCTGCATATTTATATCTCAATCAGTTATAATAAAGGTACCTAATGTTGCAATGTTTTTTAAATATACAGTGCAAAATAATATATGGTAATAACTATATTCATGATATTAGAAAAACACGTAGGTTCAAGAAGTCTTGATAGAAATCAATAAAAACCCTATAACCCTAGCACTTTCGAAAGGTCCACCTTTCGAAAGTGTTCAGGTTATAAGGTTTTTGTTCATTTCTGGTAATAACTATACATATTTAATTTTTAAGTTAGGAATGTTTATACTATGATGCATTTGTGTGTGTGTGTGTGTGTTTAGTAGGTTCATAAATTTTATTTGTTTTTAAACAGTAACTGAATATTTATTGAATGTATGTTTTAAGTTTTATTACAAATTATGAAAATAATCATGGCTTCAGCAAAGTTTGGAAAAGATAAGATTTTACTGTTGAAACTTGTGAAGAGCCAAATGTAGCTTGTTGTTTGGCTAGTAAACAATCTTGTGATTAAATTAGATACTTGTCATTGCCACAAGGTTATATAAAGATAATCTGTTTGATTATTAGATGGTAATTAAGTTATTTTGTTCACATTATTCCAACTTTGTGTGACATGGAGTCGGCTTAAGTGACGTAGGCCTAATGTACTATTACTTTCCCCTGTGCATTTTATCATACTTTGAAGTATAATATCTCTAAATGAATGTATGTTCATTGTATTTTATGGCAACTCTTACTGACAAGCTTCACCACAGCTGCTGCCTTCTCCTCTGCAAAGCTATACGCAGCATGAACTTGACTGTGTTATCTCATGTTCGAAACTGCTAGCTCTGGCAAACCAAGTTCTGTTTGGTAGCACATCAGGACAGTCCACGAGGTTTATCTGAGCAAGAAACCATGAAAAATATACGGTTATTTTGACCATGTTTCTTCTGCCTCAGGTAGGATTTCTGTAGGAATGGGATTGTGTATCTTTAAAAATAAGTGTGGGAAGAGATTCCAAGATAAATCATTTAATTTAATTCTTTATTGCTTATGAATGGTAATGAAGCTATTTACAATAATAATGTATTAAAATTTTGAAATTTATTCTTTGCTCTTGTACTTCTAAAAAATAAAATATCTTCCAGCTACTCATTTTTTAAATGTATTTCATATAATTATTTCAGAATTACTAATCTTGCATAGTAAACAACTGGTAATTGCCAGCTTTTTTTATTACCTTAATGATATTTGGAATTATAGTTGGAAGAAGTGAAGTTTAACAGGAATTAGAGAAGTCACTTTTATGCCATTAGTGCTAATTAAAATTAGAATAAGAGCAGCGTGGAGTCGTTAAATGTAATGTCTTAAAATTACATTTAGAAAAATTAGTTAATTCTGTTCAAATCTAGAACTAAGACTGCTTCTAACTTGCCCAGACCAAAGTAATTATATGTATTTTTAACGTATTACCCCTCTTTGTACTACGTATCGGTTAAACTATTTTCCAGGTATGCTGGTTTTTTGGGTAAAATTACCACTTAGTAAAGTTAGCCTCTTAGTTTAGAAACAATACAAAGAAGCCTTGTTTATACTCAGTTCACTTTCTTATTTTTATTTTTCCCACTTTGCATGTATTTTGAATAAAGCAGTTAGTGCATGTGATAAATAGTGAAGTTGATGTGTGTAACCAATTTGCATATTAAATTGGTAGATATCTGCTATAATGGAAATGGATGTTTTTATCAAGTTATGCCTTTGCATAAACAATGATTGGCAAGTTTTATAAAAGTTTAGCTTTTGTATTGTGTATATTAGTCATTTACTTAATTAGTCTACAAAAGACCTAGTAAAATAAGATCTCATCTAAGATGCAATAACTTTTCAATAATAAGTAGGTATGTATAAAGCTCTTTCCTCCACTATGCTGATGACAGTTACTGCCGTAATTCAGTCATCTTGTTACAAAAAGAAAACTGTCTTAACATAAGCCCAGCTTGTTTTTTTGGTGTGTTTTTTTTTACTTGTCTTTCAGATATAGCACATAAAAATTAATAAATTTGCCTTTTACCCTTCTTTTTCTCGAAAGAAAATAACTTAAGAGATTGAATTGTATTCCTGTAAAATAATTATATCATTCCTGGAATAATCCTGATAGCCCTTTTTTGAATCCTATCTAGTTAGACAGTATAATCCAAATTGTTCTTCAATAACTCATCCTCAATACAGCTATAAATACCTAAAAGTTTACAAACTAACTGACCTGTAATTCCAAAGCAATTTTTGTCACCTCATTTAAAAATAATAGTTAGATAAGCATCCCTCCAATCATCAGTCACCTGCCCACTCTGTTGACCTACCATTCCTGTTATGTCAGCAACCTAATGGACATGTTATTAACACCAGATCAGTGCTATAGACCTGTTGAACAACTGATTTCAAGTCTGTGATGCTGCTATCCCATTATGATGTGCATTAAGATTTTTACTCTTTAAAATATGATTAACCAATCAAATCAGTACCTATTGGTCTTGAGCTTACTAATGTTGAGGTATGTTTTACAATTACTCGCATCTAAAAGTATCCTACTCATAGGCATAAATGATGGTTTAATTTTCTCTGTGATACACAATAACCAGTTATTTATAAGCACTAAAATGATACTACTTGTTAAACTGGTCTTTGTAAAAACATATGAAAGCCAAATTTTTATCTACAGTTGAGCATCAACTTGTTTAATTATTGGTTTGAATCTTTAACCATTTCATAACATTCATTGTAATATGTAAAACTTTTGACTTGCTAGGAATGGAAAACTTGTACTTGTTTTCTGCTATGCACATGTCTTAACTGTTAGGTTTTCATAGGAAAAAACAATTTTAAATCTTTGAGACTTCTGACATTAAAGACAAATAATCAAATTAGCCTAAATAGATGACACTATGTACTTATTGCTAGTTATTCGCAAGTAACCTAACCTGTTGGATTACCTTTTGTTCGTTGGAATTTGTGACAATCTTATCAGATATTATCTTTTAGTATTGACTAAATCTCTGAAATTGAATATGCTTTATGTATAGAATACTGGCACACTCATTTTTAATATAATTTAGATTTTTTTTTGGAAAGTGTAGCCAAAGTCTGTTGTGTGTAAGATTTCTTTTTTGATTATATTGAATCTTGCATGTAACTCCTCTCACTGAGTAGTAGCATTAAATGAAGTGGCTCTGCAGGTGAATGAAAGCCGAGAAAACAGTGCAGTAATAAACGTGTGACTTTTAACATTATAATTTATCTAGCTAATGTGTTTTAATTATTTCATTGCCCAGAATTGTAATTTTCACAGTTTACTTTGTGAATCATTAGTTGATGGATTAGCTAAAGTCTATTAAGATTAATCAGGTATGTCATGTAGCTGGGCATTAAAATGAATCAAGCATGTCATCCTGCTAGGTGTTAAAATGAATCAGGTATGTCATGTAGCTGGGCATTAAAATTAATCAGGCATATCATCCTGCTGGGCATTAAAATGAATCAGGCATGTCATCTTGCTGAGGTTTAAAATGGATTGGGCATGCCATCTTGCTGAGCATTAAAACGAATTGGTCGTGTCATCCTGCTGGGCATTAAAATGAATCGGCCATGTCATCTTGTTCAGCATCAAAATGAGATGGAAATGTCATCCTGCTAGAGAAGCATCTGTCATTTAAGAGAAGATTTCAGGTGGGAGTTATTCTCTGATCATGACATATCTAGTGGTTCTGAAGGTGAATTATATACGTATTTTGTATATTTCATGACTAACAAAAAAAAATTGCCTAAACAAATACAAATAAAATTTGAATCTTGTGTTCACAGATTTGACATTTTATGCAACTGAAGCTGCTTTATGGTAAACAAGGAGTGTTGGGGAAAAAAGGTTTTATTTTTCTGATGAAAGATAGAAATATCTAATAAAAGTGAATTTATAAGAAATCTTAAAATATTCATCAGTTTGCTTCAAGATTTAAGTTCGTAAAGTTTAGTGAGTGAAATACATTTTACAGTGTCATAGAAATTATATGCACCAGTCTTTGACTTGTAATGAAGAGCCTGTTTTAATTAAAAACATAATTGTACGTGTGTCATAAAAATTATATGCACCAGTCTTTGACTTGTGATGAAGAGCCTGTTTTAATTAAAAACATAATTGTACGTGTGTCATAGAAATTATATGCACCAGTCTTTGACTTGTGATGAAGAGCCTGTTTTAATTAAAAACATAATTGTACGTGTGTCATAGAAATTATATGCACCAGTCTTTGACTTGTGATGAAGAGCCTGTTTTAATTAAAAACGTAATTGTACGTATGTAATATGAATTACTTTTACACAATCACGTTTACATTCATGATCAAATTTCTTCACATTTTCTTGTAAGGTTTATACTATAGCAAGTACCATTTGTTCTACATCTATATATAGTATTCATGTCGTTTTTTTTTTTATATTTAAAATTGGTGGTTAATTTTACTCTTGCTTCATCTATTGAGCTGCTAACTAAAAAATGACTAATAAACATTTTTTTCTTTATTTCCGATCCAAACTTTATCACCGGAACTTTTATATAGATGTTTTTGGAATACTGCCATAATACCTTTATATACCACTTTTATAAAGAGTTAGTAATGTAATTGTAAAAGTTCTTGACTATTACACAGAATACTGTCCTAAAAACCAAGACCTAATAATGCAGAATTGGTTAATTTAAGTTTTCTAATGTTTGAAAGCCAACTTAAACCATGTTGTTGTTTTTTCTTTGTTTAACAGATTCCTTAGCCTGAACATAAAAGTCACTAAATCTTTTTCATTCAACACCATTTTTTTTTGTTTTACTTAAAACAGCTGTAGGAAATTTACATTAAATATATAACAAGAATTAACAATTATGTATTCCAGTATAACAGCCACATAAAAAGCATGCATCTATTAAATCATTATATATTAGAACTAAGAACGTCTATTACTGTATGTAAACACTGCAAAATGCAATTATCTAATAAAACAAAGTAGTCAAATGGGTTGTTTAACTTGTCTCGTGATTTAGAGTTGATATTAATCAACTTTATAAGAACTTTTTCAATATATTTAGGCTTCAGTAGTATTGTAGAAATAATATTTGTCTTGGAACATTTTCATAGATATTAAACCATTCATATAGATATATGTATTTTATTGTTTGATTTTATATATTTATGAGATTACATCAGTACTAGGATAAGACATGAAATTTATCTTATAGTTGTAATTTAAATGTGTTGTTAACAATACAAAAACTGCTGAATTACTGTTAGTTAAGGTAATAACATTAATAGTGTTTGTCTATCAATATGATCATTTAAGTGTGTTGCATAATGATGCCTCTTTCAAGCAGTTACGAAGGTTGGTAAAGTAATGGCAATAAGAAGTCAATAAAATCATGATTCATGTAATACTGAGACATTTTCAGCTAAAGGAACAACAGAATATGAGTGTTTTAGCATGCACACCTATACAAATGGACTTCCCCCCTTTAGATTAGACTTTGTTTAGGATTAGGAGATAAATAAGTACATTCATACACAGTGTATGGTTTATCTGAAATTACTTGCCTATGATTATAGTTTTCAAAAACATATGACTTAGTGGTCAGCATGTCAAATGGGCAGTCTAAGGATCTCGTGTTTGATACATGGTGCTGCATTGTGGGTACATTATAAAAATGACAGTGAGTCCTGCTGTTCAGCTAAGAGTAGCTTCTTCAGGCAGCAGGTTATACCGATTTGGTTACCCTTCCTTTGTCTGGTTTACAGATGATTATACCTAAACTGTAGGGTCTCTAACTTGGTCGTTTAGCCCCTTGGATGCGTAAGGTGTTGTTCAGGTGAACAAATACCAAAACATTTTGAGATCTAATTAATCATATATGACCTACTTTTGGACTTTGAGAATCTCAAAGATGTTTGTTACATTTGACAATAGAGTAGTTAACCTCAAGTTTCTGGATGAATATAGATATGAAGAGGATCTTGATGGTGAAAAACTCTGCAAGAAGATTTCTAATCACAAACATACAGACAAATGTATTGAAATATTTCTGTTGTACTTAATGTTGAAGTATAAATTTCACCAAACAAAGCACAGGCTGTAAATTACAGTGCAAGTTCAATGGCTTAATAGCTATGATTTTATATCAGAGCTAGTTAATATTAACTGTTTTTCTTATTTAAAAAAAACTTTGTTGAAATGAGATTCTTAAGTTTATAATATTGTCATTCTACTTTTGTATAATAAGATTCAAGCAATTTTTATTCTGTATTAAATAAAGTTGAATTTATTGTATTCTTTTAAACACTTTTCACCTTGTGTCTGACAATACACATCATAAAAAGTAGAAATACTGGATGCTCTAAGGTGTGACCTGTAATTAAATCAGTTATGAAAAATAATTTCACAATATTGGATTTCTTAAAGCCACCATGTTTTGATCTAATTGTCATGTTTAGTTGAGTTTATGCAAGAAGCTTTGCATATATTTTGTGAAGAACCTGATTACTGTTACAATATTACATGTATTAAATAAGTTATATAATTGGGAAAGTATTTATTCACAATAACAAATTTATAAATTCTGTTTAGTTGCCATAAATATATATATTTTTTAAACTAAAATTTGACTTTTTGTTAATAGATACAGAAATGTTTCCAGATTTTGGAATGCTGAGCCATCCTATTGGACCGTTTGTAAACCCTAATGTGACTTCTATGTTCACGTGTGAGGTATGTGAAAAAGGTTTTGTTAGAAAGGGAGACCTGAAGCGTCACAAGATTATTCACTCCAGCGTCAGGTTGTGTTTTCCCTGCCACATTTGTCCAAAGATTTTCACCTGGAAGATAAGTTTACAACGACACTTGAAATTTCATCACCAGAATCTTTAAGTTACTGTTTTTTCCATCTCCAGTGTAATTTATCATTTGATTTTTGTAATCCACTTTGTTTCTCACAAATGACCTTCTTCATTAATAAATGTATAAATATTTTAAGAATTAGTGGCATAATTACTGGCATAATTCGTTCATATCATTCAACAATTAAGATCAGTTTGTTTGTTTTTTCCCCAAGTTAAAAAAAAATCTTAACTCTGCATAATGTGGCTAGTTCAAAAATGGGCTAAGTTTCTTTCTTTTTTTGGCTTTTTCAGCAGAAATTTGTAATTTTGATAATGGTAAAACACCATGGTTTTGTCACTTTTAAAAAAATGCTGTTTCTTGAATAAAAAGGAAGTAATGAGAAGTGTATATTTTTGAAACTGGACTATCATTTTAAGATTCAGTATAATAAAATTTTGAGCCTGAAACAAAAACAAAACATTTAAAATTGTGATTTGTTTACTTGTGTATTCATTGCTATTGAACTATTTGATACAATATGATTTTCTTTTTTTTACAAGTTCGTAAAAAAACATCCTTACTCGATTCTACATATTTCAGTGTACACAGTGATGATATCCTGTAAAACTCAAACTGTATCAATAATTTTAAATAAAAATATAAAATGTATATCTTCATCAAACTCATTCCATTAGAAACTTAGAAGTGCAGATTTGAGTTACATCATATCACCCTGAGATTTTAGTAAGGTGAATTTAAGTAGGAATGGGTTTAGGAATGAAAATGATTGCAAGAATTATTTAAAATACTTATAGTATTTGGTTTTGAGTTAGTGAGTACTTGCAGTGAAATGTATTTGAAAAATATAGTGATCATTTAGCTTGAGAGAGCATTGTGTTATACTTGATCAGTTTTATTAATTTCATTCGTAAAGTGGGACTTAAATTGAAGCTATAGTTTTATTTCGTAAATAGTGTTTCTCTTATTATTATCTCCTGTGGTACCAGGTGACTGTACACATCTTGCTATCCATAAAAGTGTGAAGTTACAAGCAAGGATAAATTACTCAGTATCTTGAAAAACAAGATAGAATATTCAAAAGATCATGCAGTAATTATAGTATTAGAATAATACAGTCTATTAATTTTATAAACCTGTAATTTTTTTGCATTCTGTTGAAATTATTTTCATGACTTCTTAATAATTATCACCATACCTTATAAAATTTTAATTTTCTTAATTTTATGGATAATAACATGGTTTGAATTAGTTTGCAGACAAAGAGACATAAATGTTATCAGATGATGTCACTGTCTGATAGATTAATTGGGATTTTTGAGTAACATCCACTCGGGTTTAAGAATTTAAACTCATTTTATTCTTTCCTACCTCGACACTAAGTTATCATTTCATTGACCAAGCAATGACGTTTCATCCTGTTGTCTTTTGATGAGGATTGATACCCTGGATATTTTCTTTTCTTCTGCACAATCATTACTTCTAGTACTGGATATAAAGCAGTTCAAGATTCTAACCACCAGTTTCTTTTATCCAATCTTTAGTATTGAATTTTCAGCTGTTAATAAGCTATAAAAAAGTGTTTATAATTATATCATTGTATTTCAATGCAGTTTTCTGCAAACGTTATAGTTAATCACTACATTTTAGTGTATGTATGAACATGCATTGTAAGCATGTTGCTATATAGGATACTAGTTTTGTAAAGACTACAGTAATATGAATCGGAACATTAAACAATGATTTGTACTATTCACAGTTTATATCATATCTAGATTTCATACATTAAGAGCAAAAGTGGTATTTTAAAAATTATTTAATAGGATTAGCTTAAATTGTAATGCAGGTATTGTGTAAATTACATTTTAAGCATGAGTAACAGGATTTCTTAAAAAGATGCCTCAAAGGTTTAAAATTTATTTTCCTTACTTAGTTTCACACACAAATTATTTTTAAGAAAGTCCAGTTGCTACAGGAAGTAGTCTTAACTATGCATTAGGTTATAAATACATGTAGAGGAAAAATTTATTTCAAGAAATATCCACCTGGTACAATATCAGTGTGTTGGAAACACATTATCTGACAGTAAACCTAAGTAGTGATTTAATTTTTATACTGGTTGTATTAACAAAGACATGTATTTTAAGTATTGCTTCTAACTAGACAGAACTTTAAGACAAAGTAACAAGCAGTAGGATGGGAGGATTTTTAAAGTCATTATTATTAATAAATGTAGTTAATTTTATTGATTCATTATGCTTTTATGATCCTTGATTGCCTTGCTGTACCTTGAAACATGAATTCTAGATATTACATGATGTTTGTTCAGTGTTTTGCTTTAACTACATTATTATATTGGCACAGTAGTATGAATATTTCTTATTTTTACCAAGACCATAAATAAGTGATAAATTTTCTATGTACTTTTAATGTTTACATTATTCGTTTGGAATATTAAGTTTAGTGAATATAAAGGGCTGTTTTCAACTGATATAACCTGGTTAGTTTGTACAACAAAAGCGGTTTCTAAAAATTAGCAACCTATAATAATGCACATGACTTCATAGATTTTCAAGAAATTAGTAGTAATGCTTGTAACTGCTACTTAAGGTAGTATCCTGTAGTAATGCTTGTAACTGCTGCTTAAGGTAGTATCCTGTAATACTGCTTGTAACTGCTACTTGTGACCTCGTATTAATACACATGACCACAGCTTCTAAAAAAGTAGCCTTTAGTAATGCGTATAACATCACAGCTTATAAAGGTTACAAAATAACTTCATTTGGGATGTAAGTATTCATTCAGTTCAAAATTGGCCTGTTGGTTAGGGTGTTGGACTAGTAATATGCATGATGTCATATCAAACCCTGTTGTTAAACATGCTCACCTCATTAGCCATGTGGGCATTATATTGTGACAGTCAATTCCACTTCAAAATTAGGGACTCAAGTAACTTTGTGTTATAATTCAACAAAAAATATACACATTAATTTTTTTGTGCTGTTCACAGTTCATATAACCGTAGGTTTTTCCAGTATTGTATGAAATTCATATGTTGAAAAAAATCTGAACTGATGCACTTTTCACTTGCTCGTGTATTACTTTTATTTTGTGTAAACTTCATCTCAGATTTATTATCACTTCATTTACTTTCATTATGTAAACACTATGTTAATTTGAGTAATTTTAAATATTACTGTTACCCATGATAGTTTGTGTTGATTGAAATCTGCAGATATTTGTGTTTCACAATGTAAATGAAATTTTGAGGTGTTAAATGTATGTGATTATTTCTTAAATCTAGCATTTATTGTCATCATACAAATGGTTATGAATTTTGGTGTACACTTGTCTTAAAAGTGTAAGATTATGGATTTCTTTGCAAACTCTGTTATGACAGTCTTTATTCATATGTAAATCATTTTTTGAAGTACAGCCTCAAATGGGGAATGTTATTAAAAGTAATATACTGCACTCAAACATGACATTTTCTTATCTTCTATGTTGTTTGAAGTTGATAATGAATAAATGCTCTGAAAATTGAACAAACTGTTTTAATTTTGGTGAAACTTTGTTTTTTTTTATAGATACAAAGATTTTTTCGAAGGATATTTCTTGTGAATTGTTTGAAACTTGTGGATATGGAACTGCTAGGTTCACGTGTGACATATGTAACAAAAGTGTTAGTAGAAGACGTGACCTTAAACGTCACAAGAAGATACACTCGGATGTCAGATCGTGTTTCTCCTGTCTCCTCTGTTCAAAAGTTTTCACCTGGAAGCATGGCTTACAGCAACATATGAAGTCTTTTCATCAGAACTGTTGATATTCTCCTTTAACTGATTAAACACATACGGGAAAAACTATTTGGTTAAATATACTAAGAACATTTTGGCATGATAACTATTTTTTTCTGTATTAAATTTTGATTTCTTATTCTTCAGAATGTGTAGTGCATAATGGAGGTATTCAGACATTTTGGCAATAAAGTTAGAAAAAATGCAATCTTTACTCTACAGATAATGAATTAATTATTATCTAAAAGGTGTTTCTTGTTCTAATTTTATTGCTAAAACCTGTTAAATTTAGTTACCAGGTTAATGAGTAACATAGATTTGACTAGAACTGTAGTTTTAACCTTTTCAGTGATATCACTATATAAGATAAGGTAGTCGGTGGGAATGCTATCGCCATATGAGATATGGTAGTTGGGTAAACATTAATTTTTCCCGCCACTCTTTTAATTCATATTGATGCTCTGGCACACTAACTAGTCAGAGTACCAATACAAGTTTAAAGAGTCGTGGGAAAAATAAACCCATATGTTACACGATGATAGCATTCTCACCGACTGCTGTATCTCATGGTGATAGTACTGAAAGAGATAGTTACTAATAAGAAATGTTTTTGCTTGAATATTTGTGAGTAACTGAAGGGATGTTACATATCTGAAATACTGAAAAAAATGAAACTCTTGAATGTTTTATTTTTTTTCTTTATTTTACATTTCTTGAGAAATATTGAGATAAAAAAAAAACTGTGGTCACCATATACAGTTAGAATATGTTCCAAAAAATTATAAGTGTGATTCTTTATGAACTGTACATTTTTCATTTTCCTATTTCTCCTTTAATTATCACGAAGCATGTGGATCAGCTGTTCCAAAAAAATAAATTTCTGTAACATTACTACATTGTTTATAATGCATCTTATTATCTGTTGTTAATGGTATAAAATCTTAAGGGACTTGCCAAAGTAAAGGAATCGTACATAAGAAATATCATTGCTATTTAAATGTGAATTATTCTTAAAGTTAAATATGTATTTTACAGAAAATAGGTAGCAAACATCTCATTTTTTTAGTTGATATTGTATGACTATTGTATACAGGTCTTGAAATTAGAAGTGGGTTATTTGGCAAAATGCCAGTGTTTCCCAAGTGACTATCAGTGATAGTGTTATTTTTTTACCAGTTTAATTATTCAATCATGATTGAGTATTCTCACCAGATGATAACAGCAGTTGGTTTTCAAAAATACAAAATGGCTGCAAGCACATAAGAAAATCACACTACGATAATTGACTGTTAACCTTTCTGGTAGCTTATTGCACATTATACTCATGCATCTTTCAAGGAATTACTCAAGTTTAAAATATGATTTAAAAACAGGACACTCGTGTGGTTTTTATATATATATTTTTTTTTTCATTATATATTATGAAATTAATTATTATTGAAAATGTGGATATGAAATACGATAGTGTATTAAAAAATATTAAATGAAAAATGTAACACTTGTTTGAAATTGATAACAACTGACTAGTTATATCCTGTAGGAGAAATCCCAAATGAAAATGAAGTGTTGTTGACTTGCAGTAAAAGTTATTTGTTTCTAATGGGTTGAGATGCAAGGATTTGATTCTGTTTTCTTTGGGGATGGAGAAGGCTAGTATTTTATGTTCAATCTGTTGTATGTGATAACTGTTCTGTGAATGGTTACTATGTACCTGTGTTTGTTTTTAAGAATAAATTGCACAATACTGTAATATGTAGTGTTCTGCATGTTTAAGGCTTTTAAAAAATGCCAAATTCCAATAAATGCTTAAACACACAGTTATTTCAATACTGTAATATGTAGTTGTTCTGTATGTTTAAGAATTTTAAAAAAAGGCCAAATTTCAATAAATGTTTAAACACACAGTTAATTCATAAAACGTATTCGAGCAAAAATGTTTTTCATTTGCTTCCCATTGAAACATTTATGGTAGTGTTGTTATTGTTTTTTTTAAATGAAAGCTCGAAAATTAAAAGAAATTTCAAGGATAGTTTATTTTTTCCTGCAGATATGAATTCTTTCCAACAACACTACTGCATTGTGTGCAAGAAGTTTTACCCTAGTCAGAAACTTTTTGATTTACACCATTGTGATTGTTCTTCTACTCATTACCCCTTTTCATGTGATTTTTGTCCAAAAAATTTTTTATGGGAAGCCAGCCTGCTCCGACACCAGTATGTGCATCACAGCCAGCAGGTGGAACCAACACTTTCTCCGTACGTCAACAACTCGCAAGGGGAAAATAACTAAAACTTTAGAATTGAGTATGAAAGTTAACAATTGACTGGGCAGTATGTATGGTATATAGACAGAAATAGACCTAAGAGGAGTTAAGCTAATACTCAGTATGTTCGAGAAAGTATATGGAAATGATATAAACTTAGTGTATTGATTTACCAAAGAACCCATTAAAAAAGTCAAAAATTACCAATAAATACTGATGTCTTAAAAAGTATTCAGGCTAAATTTGTCAGATCATTAAAAAAAGGGAAGAGAGAAAGTATATTGTAAACATGTACATTTATTTTTCAGGCTTGTATTAATTTCTCAAAAGCAGTTAGCAAGATTTTGTTGTCTAAACTTTAAGCAAAATTTTCACTTTTTACTCTGGAAATGAAATTTGTGATTTAATCTGAGAATAAATAAGTATTGAATTATTTTCAAATTTAAATTTTGTTTTCTATTTCGTAATGTGTGTAGACAGACAATAATTCATAAATTTAACATATTTAAATAATTTCAGTGGCCATTATAACTTTTTAAAATTGTGTCTGTATGTCACTTAACTCCTTCTAAACCACTGATCACACAAACTTCTAGATGGTACCAAATGAATCGTCTTGGCCCCAAGGTTTGCTCAAATGTAAAACTTTTCACACATTTCCTTGTGGAACCTGGGTATCTCACAAAAACTTTTATAAGGATTCCCCAAAAGTGGACCTCAAATTTGACATTCATTTACATTAGAGTATGTATAGAAGCTGTCCTACTAGTTTGTAACAATTGAACTTGTGTTATAATGGCAATGATCATTAAATTGAAAAAGTGCAAAACAGTAACTCAAACATTAAATTAGCATTGTAGCAGTTCTGTAAATTTGGGCCATAGGCCCACAGGTTCAGTGGTGATTGTGTAATTTATGTTTTTGGAACGTATAAGCATTTATTATAGAAATAATTTTTGTTTTTGTAGTTCAGGTTTTGTGAGAATTTTAATTTTTTTAGCTAAATTGGTGAATATGAAAGTGTCAGTAATGGTAGCATGGCTGTTGGAAAATAATAATTTATTAAAAATTTTGTTATCTTGGCATTTGAGGTAAATGACAATACAGTATTTGCTGAAACATCCTACAATTCCTAATTAGATTGTTGAGATGAACATTGTTTCAGACTGTTGTTACTCCATCTGCAAGTCTTAAATTTCTTGAGATTCATAAACATATCACACTAGCCCCCAAGTGGCACAGTGGTATGTCTGCAGACTTACAACGCTAGAAACGAGGTTTTGATACCCGTGGTGAGAAGTGAACAGATAGCCCTTTGTGCTTAACTACAAACAACCAACAACAATATCAGACTATGGTGAGCCCATATGCAAGTCTTGCCATTCTTGAGATGTGCTGAGTGTGGTTTTGGTTTTGTTTTATACAAGCTTGGCTCGTGTTCTTCAGATGAATGGTATTTGAGTCTTTGTGAAGACACTGTCACTAGTGTAACTGCAACATTATTTGTCACTAGATTTATAACAGGAATAGTTCCTAAAAACTTTCAACCATACAATGTTTGCAACTGCTTGTAATTCCAATTTTGATATTTTTATATGTTTAAAATTCCTAACAAAAAAAAAACTGTAGTTTTAGGTTAGGTTATATTTAAGGATAGGCTACTTAACAATGTACCTGTCTAGTATTCTACCCATAATTCTTTTTTTAAGAGTTGCAGGCTATAAAACAAATGTGATAATATAAGTAAAATTCAAAATCTACTATTAAATGATGTATTTGTATTATGATAACAATCATTCTTGCTGAATCTGCAACTTTTTATGATTAAAGATTGTATATTTTTCATATAGCTTTATATTTGTATTTACATGTATGAGAATCTGTTTAACTGAATGTCTAAAAAAATTAACCAAATGATATAATAACAGTAACTTTTAAAACTCTACAAGAATTTTGTTTAAGTGATTTTTTAAAGTTGAAAACCATATTTCTCATTGATTTGTACTTTTTGTACCTATATTTGAACCTGTTGTTTGATTAAATGTCTAAAGCATTTACCAAAGAATATAGTGGGCTAACTTGTATTTGAAATGTTTCAAACACAAATTGTTCATGTACATGAGTCCACATATATTTAAGTTTCATATGAAGGTTAGCCTTATACTTATGAAGTGCTGCCAAACAGGTACATGCTGTTGTAAAATTATTTACTATTTAAGTGAAAATTGACTTCAGTTGAAGCTTATCAAAAAAGCTGTAGGTCTTCACGCCTATAAGTATACAGATAATTCTCGTAAAATTATTTGGGGCTGGCATGGCCTGATCATTGAAGTGCTCAGCTTGCAATCTGTCGGTCCTGAATTTGAATCTCATCATCGAACATCTCATTCTTTCAGCCATGAGGTTGTTATAATGTGATGGTCAGCCCCACTTTTTGTCAGTAAAAGAATATCCAAAAGTTGGCAGTTGGTAGTATTGATTAGCTACTTTCCCTATAGTCTCTCACTTCAAAGTAAGGGAGAGTTAACATATATAACCCTTGAATAGCTTTGCATGAAATTCAAAAACGAACAGATGAATTTTCCTGTGCACATACCTCAGTGTTCTTTTTTTTTATTATTATGACAGTGAACTTATCATTAAAAAATGTTCTCAGTAACAAATATATGGTCAATTTATAAAAAGATACCATGTGGAGAATCTTTCTTAAGCAAATATACAGGTTAAGAGTTCCTTAATTATCAACTGGTTAGTTTTTTGGTGCAATTACAAGCTTGCCTGTATTTGTTTTGTTTTGCTGTTACAAAATATCCTGTTTTTTTTATTAACTGGCCTCTGTCTTTGTGTTGTTTAAATTCCTTTGTTTCTGTGTTATTGTTTTTACCTAACTGGCCTCTATCTCTGATACTACTTTCAGATCTGTTTTCTTAGTTTTTACTAACTGTTCTGTTATTTTGCATTGTAACAAATTGGTGTGTTTCTTTGTGCTCCAACATACTATATGTTACTAATTGATGGCTTATGTTGCTATAATTATGCTAATTTGTTTGTTTCTCATATAATATGGACTATACTTACTTACTGAATATAATATCTTCACTCATATTTTTTTTAATAGTGAAAGCAACTGGCCTGTGTTCTTTGAATATGTTAAAAATTTAATTAAAAACTAAATTTTTTTACATTATATACTTTGTTTTACCAAATTTATCTCACTTGGAAATGTCTAATAAATTACATTTTTACCTATCTTTAGGAAATATGGGATATTCTTTGACTTATACTGCATTCCCAAGGAAAATTGCAGATGTAAAACGAGACAAAAAGAAAAAACCAAAATGTCCCTTGTGTCAGCGTGAGTTTTTCAACAACCAGTCATTAAGAAGACACATGGAACTACACAGTGGAAAGACCTATGAATGTGACATCTGCCATGCTGTGTTCACACACATTACAGTGTTATACAATCACCGAAGAACAAACCATGACACTAGCTTCCGTTGTCAAGTTTGTAATAAAGCTTTCATGCGAGAGAGAGCGTGGAGAAAACACATGATAACTCACCATTCATATAAGATTTGAAATGTACTTTGTTTTCTTCTACAATTTTATATCATATACAGTTACAGCTAAATATTCTTAAATGTTTTTTATTAATCGACTCTAATATTTAGTCATTTTCAAGCAATTACGTTTGTATACATAATTATATGAAATAAATGTTGTATTCTATAGTTTATAATATTATTGCTTATCATGGACCTTTTTAATAGAGTATGGTGATCACACACAAAACTTTAATATTTTTAGATTAAAAAAAAGAAAAATTTGTTTCTGAAAGAAAACTGCTAGAAACATATATACCATTTATTTTTTTGCTGTAATTCAAGAACGAAGTATAACATGTACCTTCTGCCACTTCTGAACCTCATAAGTTAATTTGAATCATTCACCAAAACCAGTGCAGTATTGAAAAAGTATCATGGACCTTTTGTTTGTTTTCAAAAGTAAATATTTCAGTTCTTGTGTATGACATATTTATAATAATTCAAGTATACTCAACATTGATTGTTCATGAAAAGGGCCTGTAAGAAGAACAAAAATAAAACATTTTTGCATTATTTAGTTTTTAAGACAAAGTAGTTACAAAATGAAAAGTGACACCTACCATAATCATTCCAAAAGTGTACAGTCATCAAACAATAAGTCACGATTGTAGATTTTACTGCCAAGTCTAAGAAATGTGCTGTGTAAAATAAAAACCTGAAGAATGTCCACAATTTCAAAGAGTTTAGGAAGCTAACTAGTTATGAATTATTTTTGAATGTCACGTTTTCAAAGGATTGTTTAGAACACTGACAAGTTGTTTACACTTTGGCAAATTTAATTTTTTGTTGTTTTATCTTTGAAAACAGGTTAAAAATCATAGAAGATTATAATCTTAATGCTACAACTATGTATTTTGTACAATTTTTAATAAACTTAATTTTAAGATGCAGGTTCAATGAAAGTTTTATTTTAAAGCTTAAATGTAGTGCATTAGCTTACATTTATATTCACTTAGTTTCAAATATAGATTCAGGCTTTTAGTCTGCTGTATCTCGTCGTGAAGCTGTCATACTGCCCCACCCATTCCAATTTAGATCATATTTGCTTGTCCCTGTCTGTCTGTCATGATCTTGTAGATGGGATATCTCATGATTAGATGGATGGATATTTACCAAATTTATGCAACAAGTACTACATACAAAGTTCTAGACCTGATTATTATTTGACATTGAAGGTCAAAGTGAGAAATAGGTATTTCATAAACACAATTCCTACTTGTTTCTTCTATGTTTGTTTTAGCTGAACATATAAAGTAATATGCTTGTGCCTGTTTGCAAGACTTCAATATTTTTTAATTTGCTTGAAATGGTGTTTTCCTGCCAGTACATTCTGACACTAATACATGGAAGAGTAAATAGTTTTTGCTTCAGGTATGGCATGAAAACAACAGCTGGTAACAAAAAACTCCAGAGCCTATGGCAAACCAGAAAATAAATGAAGTGGAAATCTAGGGATTATCAGATAAAATAAGTGTAACAAAATAAAAAAAAGTAACAATTCTGTAGGAATTAGTCTGTGTCCCCAAGTTCTGCTAGTTCACTTCACATGCAGTTGCAATGTGCCATTAAATAATGGGTTTATAGATATCAAAGTAAATATACGTATTGAATTCGTTGCTTCATTTAAATTTTTCAAAATAATTTTAAGTTATATGAGCTGAACTGAGAGATTTATGTCATTAATTGCAATTTTTGTCTCATGGGAACTATATTAAAGAAAAATCAGAATTTATCATAGTTTCTGAGGAATGATGTTTAGTTCTTAATATTGTAATCCTTACTTCTATGTTGTCTACCACTAAATACCGTATCAGAATATTTAAAATGTGTATTGGTTTTATATAAAAAAAATTGACAACTGGACACTTTTTAGTGTATATATATATTTTTATTATTGATACATTGGTCTAATAGTATTACTAGAAGGTGAAATAATTATCTTACATATACAATTCTGTTGCAGTGGTTTAAGTTATCTGACATGATTGTGAATGAAAAATTTTTAGGCCTGACAGTATCATTAATGTCATGTTTGATTGGAGATGTATATTTTCCTTCTTTTTCTCTTAATCTTACCTCTACAGGTTTTATTCTGGATGTGTGTAAAAATTATGATTCAGTTTTTGTTTGCTATAATTCTTCCCCCAATGACTAATTATAATGCTGAATTAAAGGCATTCTGAGTATTGAATTGTTATAGACAAAAGATGGGTCTTACCCTGTTGAAAAAAAAAAAGCCTTAATAGTGATTTGTGGAGAAAAAAAAAGATAAGTTTTGCCCATCATATAATTTCTGATGGAAGAAATGGTTTCTGAGCAATGATCTGTGGCAGATAAAATATAGGTCTTGCCTAGCTGATGAATCCTGATGTTGAGCTCCCTCGGGGGCTCAGTGTTAAGTCTGTGGACTTGTAATGCTAAACATTGGGCTTTGATAACAGTGTTTGTAGCAAACAAACAAATTATTGTTGAAGAAAAGGCCATTTAATTAGTGATTTCTGACAGGCTAGAGATAGGTCTTCACCATTTGATGAAGTTTTATGTGAATTTTTAAAAGTTTCCTGGGCATTAAATTGTGTAAAAAAAAATAATTCTAAAATGCTTATATACAAAAGAAATTAATAAGTGGAATACGAGAAAAACATCCATTATCAATCATAATTTTAATCAGTGTTGTTAGGTCTGAAAATTAGTTGTGTTATTGTGTAAGTGCAAAAAAAAGTGAATCTTTTAACAGGTTTTGTAGAATATTCAAAAACTCCCAATTCTCATTATGACTGAAGGAATTCTTTTCTTGGGACCAGATTAACATTGAAATGCATCTTTGCAGTGAATTGTTGTAAGTACGGTAGAGCTTTTGTGGACAAGCATGTTGTTATTTAAGTGTTTGGAGTTAAATAACCTAAGTTTATATAACAATATTTGATAGCATAATAGAGTTCATATTCTACACATACTGAAGTCAGGTAAAGAAAATAACTGGTTTCTCATCAGCACTGGCTTTTAGAAGTTGACACTGACTCAGGTTTTTTTTAATTATTTCTTTCTAGTTTCAAAATTCACACATCTGTTTAGCAATAATTGATTGAAGCACCATCTGTAGAAAGACTTGTTTGAAAATTGGGTTCACGTGATATCAGTTAGCAGCAAGGTTGATGCTGCAAATGGTTGTTTTATTGTTTGGGTAACATATCAGTGAGGTTCATTAAAAAGATGTCATTTTCTACTTTCAAAAATTATGTTGAGAAACTGGGTATTCTTTTTACTTGGCCTAAACTAAGTTTATCTTCAGAGTAATGCATTAATTTTCATTGTTTGCTCCCAACACTGTGTTTCAGAGTACATATTACTGCTACTTTTTAGTAACTGAATCTTACACACACATGTTAAAGACAAAATCTTATCCTGCCCACTGTAGATGTAATGGATTCACTAGATGTATTTAGGTAAAAAATGCAAGCCCTCCTTACAGGTAGAGGAAGTTCATCTTCATTATACAATTGAGTACGTAGTTTTTATTTGTAAAAGCTATACTTGGATTTTTCAAAACCTTTAAGCATAGTTCTATGTATCGTAATTGTCCGTAGAAACATTTATTACAACAAAATTGTGGAAGTTCAAAGCTTTGGCATATCTTTCATTATTATTTCATGCTGAGATAGATGAGTATACAAGTGTGCAAAAAGTAGAATGTGCACTTAACCGAATAAGACTTTGTAGATAGAGAAAAAAATATGCTACAAACCAACAGTAACAAAATTAAGCACTCATTCAGATTGTGATCAAGTCAGATAAAACAATAGGATAGAGAAAGAGTAAGACTGTTTAAGCTTGATCTTCCTCGGGAATGCTAAGGTTTTTAATTCTTTTTTGTTTTATTTAATTATCACTTATTTTCATCTTTTTGAGGTGGTTCTTTTTTCAAAGGCTAATTTTATATATAAAACTTGTTTGACACACACTAATCTTAATTACTATTTCTCGTGATTTAATTTATAAGATTGTACTATCATGTATTTGCTGTCTGCATGAGGAGAAATTATTTTTACTTTTTTTTTTTTTAAGAATGTAATTGACAGTTCGTACTGTGTTTCAAATACAGTTTTGTTGTTCTGTTATAGGTATCATTATTGGAAAGTTTTATCTTCATAGACCTTTTTTTGGTAGTGGTTTAACCTTAATTATAATGTAACATCTTAGAAAAAAAGAGTTGATTAAGGCCAAGTCAAAACATCAATAGATAAATATTACATTTTGGACAATGTGCAATGTTTGTAATTTAATATTCAGCATATTTTGGTCTATGTTTCAGTTGATTTCAGTAATATTTAAACCATGCTGTTGAAAGTTAGCAAATTGCAGTTAGTTAGCTATATCAGAAACAATCAGAGAAGGAGAAAATGTACGTCTTGTTAAGAACTTAATAAAAGTATTTGTCACCCTACAAATTAATTACTTGTTGATTTTAAATAATTACTATCTTGCAAATGTGTTTTATTATTATTATGTTGTATATATATATCCTGACAGTTTTAATGCATTTATTAATGCTTTTATATTTTGGGTTTAGTGTTCCTAGAGTTGAAGATCAAAATCTTTTTCAGCATGATGTTTCATGTGTATTTCTTACACTTATTAATTAATAACTATAATTCAGTTTAATATTTTTCAAATGCATGAATCAATTGAATGTAATTCTCTTTTAGGAGGACGAAGATTTCGCTGGGAAGTTATGGCTGTCTTTACTGAACATGGCAAACGATACATGTGCCCAGATTGCCAGGGCACGTTTTGTTCAACACATTCTCTCCGAAACCATCACTTGTATCAGCATCGAGCTGAACGAAAGTTTCAGTGTGCCCACTGTGGGAAAGCATACACGAGAAATGCAGATTTGAAGGCACATGAAAAATCATGCTCAAACAAAGATTAAAAAGTAAACTTGGTAGTCAACTTGGCCAGTACTTTATGAAGTGGCAAAAATAAAAATACACAACAGTGATGGATCAAGATGACTAATATAATCCCAAGTTGAAAAAAGTGGGGCTTAGCACCTAATATACTTTAAATTTATATACCCTTTCTTGTTTTTTCATCATTGAAAACAGGTACATTTTAAACAAAGGTTTATGTAGTGTTCATATACTTGTAATAAAATATTTAACTTAAGTAGCTACAGAAATGCATGTTCTTATTTCTAAACATGTTAAAAGTTATAATGTACCATGGTTTTTACTTTTATATTTGGATAATAAAATCATATCCAGCTTAATTGTTTATTTTATAATGTGACAGTCTGTCCCACTATTCTTTAGTAAAGAGTATCCTGAGAGTTGGCAATGGGTGATGTTAACTCACTGCCTTCCATCTAGTCTGTGTCACTTCAAAATTAGGGTCAGCTAGCAAGATAGCTCCCTAGTATCTTTGTGTGAAATTCGACAAAGAATCAATAAACTAAGGGGATGGGGATGATTAATATTTTAGACAGATGCCTCAAGCAACAGTAGTGAAAAGTATCAGATGAATGAAGAGAAATGCTAATTTATAACTGGTTGCATGATAGAACACCAGTATAAACTTGTTTCTTAACAGTTTATTACTTGGATAAAGTATCTCCTTAGTGACTAGAAGCAAAAACTCCATAATTTCTTTTGAAAGAAAGTATTTAGTACTGATGTCTTCAATCTTTAAGAAGGAACTTTCATTCATTGTTGAGAATTAATAACCACAAGTAGATTATTTATTTTGTTGTTATTGTGGTTCCAAAGTTTCTGAGGTTTTTTGTGAGTTACAGAAAGTAAACATAATTTTAAATTTAGTAAGACTAACACTTTGAAAGTCTTAAAGTTATGGTTCATTCAACGTTTTGGCCAGTTTGTATGTGTGCTTTCCTTTTGCTTTCCAGACTCTGCTTCTAAAGAAAAATGTTTTGTTTTTTGATTTAATACTGTTGAATAATTGTAAAATTTTTTTTCAGGTAATAAACTTATTGACTGGAAATCCTTTGCTATTCCAACCCCAGAAGGTGAACGTTTTCTATGCCCGATATGCTGCAAAGTGTTCAGAAACAGAGACTCTGCTCGTACACATCATTTCTTCATGCATCGAGATATTAAGCATGTTTGTCCACGTTGTGGAAGAGAGTTTAAACGAAAACAGCATCTTAAGGAACATGAGAATGCTTGTAAAAGAAAAATGTTAATGTAAAACTGGAACAACAAATAACATCTTTTTGTTTTTAACATTCATTTATTGATTATTAATAATTTTATATGCTTTTTGTATTGGAATGACTTATGAGATTAATTCAAGTTTTGTTATAAGAATACAGATGTGAAGAAGTACCATTAGTTTTTAGAATAAAATATCACAAAATTCATTAAATTTTTCTGTAAGCTTTGTTCATTCTGTTAAATAAAAATATTTTATTCAAGTAAGATATAGTGCATGTATTTTTTTTAATTTCATATTTTCAAATAATGTGGGTCTTTGTTTATATATATAGTTTCCACTTTGAAAATTATTTCCTTGTATTTCTGATCACCTGTGTTAGAAACTTTCATTAAAACAAAATATCTATGGTATTTGCATTCCAAAGTTTCTTAATGTCAGTTTATTTCAAAGCACTTCTGAAAGCTTAACTTTTCTAGTAAATTCAAACTATCTCAGCTGTGTTGTAATTATTTTTCATTAAAGTGTAAAATGGGGTACTAAAACTGGTAACTGCCAAAAACTATGAGTTAAACAGGAATTTGTATAATATGATAGTGAACTATTTTATGGAAAATAATGTATGAAAGATTAAAACAGTGGCAAAACTTGCATCTGTTTCTAGTAGCAATAGTACTGAATAATAAGGTGGATTTTTTGTAGAGTCAGCTGTCCTCCATTCCAACTCAGTTTTTAAAACCAGAGTTACTTCCATGAATGAATACATTATTAACTAGTTTGTAAACTATGGAAATTTTTTTATTAGTGATTAACTACAAACAAAATACACATCACCATTATAATAGGCCTAACTATATTTCTTTAATTTGCTGTCCCAAGCTATGCTGATTGATGAACCTTGAATAAACAAAACTGCAGGCCATAGCAGAGGGTGTGGTAAATCAAAGAATGCATTAGGCCTCCACGTTACAGATTCTATTTTCAATTTTATCTTTTGTGAAAATAAAATAAACCTGTAATGTAATTATTAAACAGTTACCATATGGTGAATTAAAAAGGACTCAAAAACTCCAAGAGTATAAATACAGTATTTGAAAAGCTATCATCAGGTAGTCCAATCAGAGAACAATAGATAAAAATGACATGCTTCGGCATGTTATATGTATCACGCATTGAGACTGATTTTAATATTTGATTTTTTAACGTATTTGACAAAAGAATCTTCATTTTGCTACATGACAAAAAAAATTCACATCATATCCTTTTATAGTTCTGTTGAAGAATACTTGTAATTTTTTAATTTAAGGATTTTCATATTTGGTACAGGGCATGTTTTGTTGTCTCATAGCAAAATAAATTTGATTCAGCCTCTTATTTAAATTTTATTTCATACTTATATATTCTCTAATTTTTAATTTCTTTAGGAATGAGATTATAGGATATCAGTGTATAAATGTATTTGGTGTGTGTGTGGGTATTTATGTATACAGGCTCGAAACAACTTTGAAAAATGTGGAAATTCGGGTTATGTAAATTTTCCTGTTTAATTGTACTAGTATCTGTATAAACAGTTGAAGTAATTTTTTTTAACTGTTTGTTGGTTAAGGTTGCTTGTTTATAGTTATATTACAATACAGTTTTGTACATAATTTGTATGAAATAAATTTTGTATTTATGGGCCAGGAAAAAGGGGATTGATTTCTTCAAAAAGTGAGTTATCCAAATCACAACCACACAGAAAAAATTCCTTGTAATGTGGCTTGAAGTTAGTTAAAATATCAGTTGATCTATAAATACAACAGATTTAAAACTACTTTAATTTGAAAGAGCCAGTCAACTGTCATTCTGACATTTTAGTTTTTGATTTTTTACCATTTCTGTACATTTACATTTTAAGTAAGATGGGACACATGATGAATAGCATCATGATTCTAAGAATTCCAAAACTTTGCACTCTTGTTATGGGAATTCCCTGAAATGCCTCAGGAATACACACTGAAGATAAAGAAAATAAATTAAAATAATCAGTTGGATCACAGTCTTAATTTGAAAGCTGAATAAAATTGGTGAGGTATACGTGTGTATAATGTGATGCTGAAGTTTGGCATGTAAAAGTATATTAACATCACCATTTGAGTTCATCTTATCAAAAAAGGTTCAAATTTATTCCCACGTTGTTGAGTTCATGACAAAATGTTCTCTCAATTAAATTCTTATGGATTTGAAGTTTAAAAATATACTGAATAATCATTTTTAAGTTTTTTTTATCGGTATTAAATTTGTTAAGAATCAAACACTTAACTAAAACTATTCTAATATTGGCATAATTCAATTCTGTAAACTTCGAATAACAATTAATGTTTAAATTATGAAAAAAAAAATTTTTTTGTTGAGTTTTATAGAGAGAGTACTGATACCTGTAAGGTCTAGTTGTAGAAGGAAATAGAAAAAACAAAAGAAGAAACAAGTAATTTACTTCTCTTTTTTTTTTCTCTCTCTGTTTTTTTAGGTGCAATTTTACCTCTCAGTGACTTTGATGGCGAAGAAGTAGAAAGGTCGTTCTGTTGCAAAGTGTGTGGAAAGATTTTCTGGAACAAAAGTGGGCTGGCTACACACACAAGTTATGTTCATAGAGCAGTCAAGAAGTTCCTGTGTGCTTTGTGCCACAAGGGCTTCAAACGAACACATGAGCTAAGGCGACACATAATTTCATGTAGACAGCGAGTGTATCATAGTAAAAATTCAAAAAATTAAATGTTTAGATCTTCAGTGTCTGAAATAATTCTAAGGTGAAAAAACACAGGTGTTTAAAATATCATGTTTCTACAATGAACATCTTCTTTGTTATCATATTTTATTTTCTATCTTTAAAGCTACAAATTTTATGCACCAGTAGTTTTGTGAGCATTTTTTTATTAGTTTTAATAGACTTTTCATTTTTTTACATAAGCTGTACATTTTATTGTGATGGATTACTGTACATTTTATGTTATTTGTAAGTAGTGTAGGTATGCGTGGAAATAATTTTAACATTCTTGAATTTTTTTAAACATTTTAACAAATTTTTGCAAGAATAAGAAAAACTATACTTTTTCCACAATAGAACTTTAAAATATCTACTTAAAGAAAACACATTTAGTTCTGACTTTTGCTTTTTTTATAAGTGTTAAAATACTTCTGTAATTAAGCAGATGTAACCTGTATAGTACATATAGTTAAGTAGAGGATCTGTTGCTCACTAGTTTGAAACAGTTTATCATCCAGCTGATTCAGAAGATTTTTAATTGTGTCAAAAAATTATCTGTTCAACTTCAGTGTTTCTAGTTTATGGACTAATGATAAAATGTGATGTGGGTTTGTGATGTTAAGTTGGCTTTCTTTAGTGATGTTTCTCTATAAAAGTGATCTATATAGGAATTACATAGAGGGTAATATAGCACAAGTTGTGAAAACTAGAGTTTGTGAACAATAGAAACTGACAATAAATGTAGTTTATTGAGGATTTTTTACTTTAATCTAAAAATGCTAAAAGATTAGAGAACCACGTAAAAATTGCCATTACCTCTTTTCTACTTACCTTTTCACTTGTTTTATATCATTTACTGCTTCTCAAGAAAACAGTTTGTAATTAGTTACCTAAATTAAGTAAAATTCATTTTACTATTGTTCTCGTCTGTTAGTTTATGCATCACAAGTGTTTTATTATTTTGTCTCCAAAGCTTAATTTTGATAACACATGATGCCTCCAATTTTTTATAATTTTGAACCTCAGTGCTGCCTTTATTTTAGCATATGGTGTTGATCAAGGGTAATGTTTTATTATTACCTTGAAATCAGCAAGGAAAGAAAAATAAAGAGGACCTTGCTCATTATGGTTGTGTGATTTACTGAGTATGTTTTTATTGTTATACTTAGTATAGTGAGGCCCTACACTGAGTTGATAGCAATTAAAAATACTTAGAATATTTCCAGAAAAAAAAATAACAACATATATTCCTATATATAACTTACAGGTGAATTTTAGCCAAACATTTCTAAAACTACTGTGGTGGCACAGAAATTGTGGATATCTCTTAAAAACATTTACAGTACACTTATATTTGTACATGATAGAAGATATTTCTGTGGTCTCATGAGAGTTAAAATCCTAAACGTTGCTTATTGCTGAGATTACTTTCTTTGGTGTCTAACTAGTATTGTAACATATATAAAGAGAGGCTTTTTTTAAAAAAAAAATAAAAGAAACTAAGATATTACTTCAAACTACACTAGTTTGTATTTTGGCAGGAAATTGTTACAAGTTATGTTATGATTTTGATGTCCATTCTTGGTGACCCTGTCATGTGGGTTTTATATTTCATTTGCTAAGCATCAACTTTTATAAAATGCATTGAAACTTTATGTTGTTTATAAGAAATCCACCATTCGTAGTGAATATAACATAATGTGGAATTATCTATTTACAGAGGAATCAAAAAATATAAATTCTTCTCTTGATTGCATTCATTAAAAAGAATCTGCAAGTGATGAAGAAACCCTCACTATCATGTTTTCATAACTTCAGTACAAGTGTACTTACTTTTGCATGTAGAAGTTTACTGTTCTTTAGATAGGTGGCACGTGGCAACCAGAAATCAGAAAAGAAAAATACTCCTTTTTTTAATGCATTTGAAGAACTGAATCTGCCTGTGGTCAAGAAGCTCCTGCTATCAGATTTTAAAATCTACACCTGTAACTTCAATGTAAGTGTACTGATTTTTTTTTTTACATGTAATGGTTTACTGTTCTTTAGGTAGGTGGCACATGGCAACTAGGAACCATGGAAGCGTGAGAAAGTATGCATGGAAAACAATGACTGTTAACACTGACAGTGGCATTCGTTACCAGTGTCCGGATTGTTACAAGCTCTTCATCTCTAACAAAACACTACAACATCACCATTTTTTTCAGCACCAGCACCACAAGGCTTTCAAATGTCTGGGTTGTGGGAAGGACTTCACTAGAAAGTCTAATCTTGTCAGACATGCAACTGTCACTACCTGTGGGTAAGGTTTTTAATTTTCTTTCTTTGACCTTATAATTAAAGTGCACATGAACAAAGTATTAAAGGACATTATCATCCATTTTTGTTTTTTATTTAATTTTTCTTTTCCTGGGCTTGAATGTATTCCTGTTTGATTTGTTCTTACTTTAATGACATCTTCACTGGCAGATGAGTAAACTAAATAATTCTATTATATGATATGTTCTTCTTATAGATTGGACTTTGTATGTAGATAGATAAGTATTGGTGTCCATTAGCTAAAAACACATCATGTTATTCTGTCCTAATCATCATTTTATTCAGTGACTTCATAGTAACAAGTAATTCGAAAATTAACTTGTGAGTGGATAATTGTAATGCTTTGTAATGTTTCTCTTGTTTTCTTCAAATAAAACTATAAAATCCTCCTTCCTACATCAATTTGCAACTGGCTTAATGTTGTATTGAAACCGTTGTTTCTTGTGGTTAGCAACTGTTTTACAAGATCTTCATTAAATTTGTAATAACCTCCAAACTTTTATGGTTTTTCTAAGGACAAGTCAGAATTTGGATATTCTACTACAAGACAACTGAAACCTTGCTGCTGTGGAAACTGGATGCAGATGAGCAATTTGTGGAAATCCATTTTGAACACCATCGCTTCTGCTTCTAACACTTACTCTTCACAGCTTTTTCATAATCACACACACACACAGTATAATCTGCTTTCACAACTGTTGAGTTTGAAGAACATAAACTGTCATCATATAAAATCTGTAACTGAGTAAAATTTGGAAATGCTTTATACATGGATTTATTCTATTTAAGAAATATCTAACTGCGTTTTTGTATTTGTTGTATTCAAAGAGTGTGAATAATAATGATACATTCATTATTTCTAACATCAACTACCTGTAGAGACTTATTTTGTTCTGTCTTGTTATTCCTGTGATTGTGAATAGAATTTGTTAATCTTTCATAATAAAAGTATGCTTTTTGGTTGTACCAACCCTAGGTTATCCTCGCTACCAGTGGTCTAGACTTGCTGTTGAAACTTCAGATGGATTGAGGTACCTTTGCCCTGAATGTCTGAAAACCTTTCGATCCCCTGACTCTGTTAGAATGCACCATATGTACTCCCACAGGTCCATCAGGAGCTTTGAGTGTCAGCGATGTCGCAAAATTTTCAAAAGAAACAGTGACTTGAAGACTCACAATCGGAAACGTTGCAAAGACTGACTTTTATCTCTGAAGACTCACAATCGGAAACGTTGCAAAGACTGACTTTTATCTCTGAAGATTCACAGTTGGAAGTGTTGCAAGGACTGATTTACCTCTGAAGATTTGTATTTACAAATGTTGCAAGGACTTACTTATCTCTCTCAAGATTTGCAACTGCAATTGTTGCAAAGACTGACTTATCTCTCTCAAGTCCTGCAACTGTAATGTTACAAAGACTGATTTTTCATTTTGGCCCCTACTTCAACTATAAACTTCTTAGGGGTTCATGACATTTTTTGTGGTTCCTCCTCTTTTGCTTCTGTACTATCCTAAACATGTAAATACTAGAGACGTACAGCGCATTTATAGAATTGCCAGTTTATCTGCATTTGTGATATACAAAGTACATTGTCACAAGGCAGTTTTATAGGTTATTGACAAAATCTTTGGGCAATATCAAGTATCACTGGTATGGTTTTGTACATTTTGTTGTGAATAAAGGTATACATTCCAAACATACAGTTTATGTTCAGTAGTACTTTTTAAATACAATTAGTTGATCCAGTATGACAGAACATAATATATGTTCTTGAGAGTTATGCCCAACATAGATGAATATTTAAACTTGTGTATAAAATAGATAATGAAATATTGAGTCATATAATGTACTTTGTCATTGAAATATGACATTCTTGTAACCTTCTTACCTAAATGTATCTTGTAAATTAAGAAATTAAAAAAGTTGTAGGATGTGTAAGATATCCATTCCATGCATTATTGGCACATATTTGCAGCATATGGAAAACGTTGTACTTGAATAATATTATTAATTTCATGTCACAGTGTTATTATCATTATTGTATTTTTTAACCACAATACCTTGTTGTGATTGCCATAAGTAACAGCTTACAAATTATCTGGCAAAAGTTGGTGGCAAAGTTTGTTGGTCTGACATAGTCACAGAGTTAATATTACAAGTTCAGCTGTTATTTATAAGCTTTAATAAGATCAAAAAGATATGGTATTCTAATCATTATTTCTTTGATTTGCATATTTGTTTTATCATATTACCTAAATTTATTTTTACAAGTAATACTGAAAAGAATCCTTTGTTTAATGTAAAGTACACTGGGAATGACTTATTGTAACTACCTTAAATAACTATGTTCTCCAGGCTTAAATAATACAGCAACAGGGATCTATGTCCTGCAGTGAAATAATCTGAGAACCTCTCTTGATGTACGCTTGCTATTTATGATTTCCAAATCTACAAGCTGAGGCAGAGAATCTGGACAAAACAACCTAATTCTCTTCTTTTAAATGTATAATAATCTTTATCCAATCAACATTTTAGAAGGGCAATTGTTTTAAGAAGCCAAGGTAGTGACTTTGATGGGAATCCAAGAGTACAAAGTCATGTTTCAGTGTTGTAAAAGTGCTCTTCTCACTTTGAGGCCATGGGTTTGTAATGAGAGTAATTGTGAAATCTCACTATTTACTTAAAATAACCCAAAATTTGATGGTGGGTGCTGTTGACTAGCTGACTTTCATCTAGTCCATCAGTTCAAAATTAAACATGGCTAGCACTTGTGTAGTTTTGCACAAAGATCTAAAACAAACAAAAAAATTTGCTATACGGGATGCCATAAACACATACTCAAGACTTTCCAAGAAAATGCCAAAATTAATTCTGACATTAAAGAAGACTAATGAGTTTTGAAGTACATAGAATCATTTTCAATGTCTGTCAGTGATGTTCTCAAGCATTCATTTCTCTCTTGCACAGATGATGATGATAGCCTCTATTAATTTTATGAATTAATGGTGAAATTCATATTCTTAAATCATTTGTTTCATGTGTATATGATCGCAGAATATGAGCTATCAATTGGTACACCTCGTATGTATGGAATGTCATTTTAACCTTTGAATTGGGATGCCCTTTTAGTTTATAAATGTAAATATATATATATATATGTGTGTGCTCACCATAGAATATTAGGGTTGTGTGTTAAAACACTTGCTATAAATTCACCATTCAACATGTACTCTACATTCAATAATGACAATATCATTTGTATGCAAAGTGGTCCATAAAAGTGGTAATTACTAATAAAGAAGGGATCATGTTATAAGAAATAGAATCTTGGAGGAAGTAAAATGTCAACAAAACAAAGACTTATAATTTCATCTGTGGAAGATCCCAGAATATGCATCAAAGTAGAAGGTAAAGATTTGGGACAAGTAGGGGATTTACATATTTAAGGACAAATGTAACTAATGTGGAAAAGAGATAAAACACAAAGGATGGGAATGTAAAAACACCATTATTCAACCTGAAAGAATTGCATAACACATGGTCTAGAAAATTGCACAAGAATGTAGATGATAGCAGTTTTTTTCACTGGTAGGGCAAATTATATCTAGAGGTTACAGGCTCCGCTGTGTTAATTGAGAACGATCAATCATATGGGTAGTACTAGCGCCTATGGATAAATCAATATTTTCCATTAAGTAAGACATTAGATATAAACATTACTTCATAAGATTTTAAGTGATTTGGTTAACAAGAATACATCTTGAGGTAAGAAAGCCAGTTAATCAATTCGTGAGTGCAACAGAAGACAACTGTCCAGTGTTTTAACACAAGTATGTATACTTTTTTTTTGTCTTTGGCATAAAGAAAGATTGTTTCACTTTGTATAACACATCATTTGCAGTCTGTTTATTTCTTTGCATTAAATTAATTAGTTAAATTCAAATTTACTTTATAATTTATCCTGCTAATCCATTACAAAGCAGACCTACCTAACGTTCTTTGAGGAAATCCATTTAACCAGAGAATACCACAACAGCTTTGAAAGCTAGGATCACCACTTTCTTTCAGCCATTTATTTTGCAACCAAATGACTGTACTAGCTATGGGTAATTGTGGTAATTCTATGTATATTGGTTGGAAGGCCATCATTGGCAGCTCAACTGACTGTTGGAACTGTCTCTCACCTCTAGAGCTTGTTGTGAAAAGCTAGATAAGTACACTTAGTTTTCTTGTCCTTTGATGGGTCAGAGTGGTACAAGATAATACTTTCATTTTCCTCTGGCTATGGTTTTGATGTATGGTCAAGCCAGTGAACAAGATGTTTATCACTAATGTATGGAAATAGCCATTCAACATATACTTCTTTATTGCTGTAATGTATGCCAAGAACTGACTCGTTGGAGTGTGAGATAGTCTTGTCCAGCCAGAGTTGTGCAATTTCCATGATGCTGGCAATGTACCTAAACCACACTCAGTCTCCAAGTTGGTACATTTGTTCCTTCACTGTCTCATCATAGCACTTGTTTTAGTGTGTAATGGTTTTTTGTTTGTTGACATTAAAGTCAACAAAAGTACTTAACTACTCCACATATTCTTGTTGATACTGTAGAAAATCCATTCTAAGGGAGGGCAATACATCACATCAACAGAGAGCAGGATTTCCTGTCTGAATGTCATGTCTAGAGAAAAACCTGTCAATTTCTTTTTCAATTGCATGATATGCCATCAGGATGTATGGTAAATGCTTATTCTAGTCAGTTTGCTTTGGGTTAACAAACTTAGTAAGCATATGCTTCATAGTCAGTGTCATCCATTATGCTAAAACATTAGACTAGGGGTGATAAGGAAAAGTGTGTGTCTTCATCACACTCAACACTACATAACTCTGAGAATAGCTGGCTGTTGAAATTAGATCCATGATTCATGTGAATCAGTTCCAATGTTTCGAACCAGGCTTTACTGATGCATCGACCAATAGATAAATTTTGACCCATTTTGTAAAGTAGTCAATGTTTAGTAGAATATACATGTAACCTCATAATTAGTTTGGAATGGATCAGTCATATTAAGGGATATTCTCTGTTGTGGGAAAAAAAATAATTCTCAGCTGGAGTTTACCTTGTTTAAGCCAACATTTTCTCTAGGTTGCACACACTGTACTGTGTTGACACCAGCACAGAAAATTCTGACTCGAATGTGGCTAGTAGAAGTGTCAACGAAGTGTAGGTAACAGCTTATTTTTCCCCAATCTCTATTGTGCAAAATGGAAAATCTCAAACTCTGAGGACCACTAGCTACAATGCAGGCTGAGAACCACAGCTTGATGGTTAGTAACAATGGTTTAGCACAACTTCCTGCACTTGTAACTGCTTGTACAAGTTTCATAGACTTGGTACATTCCTAATTCTGAGCTGGTTAGGCTTTACCTTGCAGCACAATAAGAATCTTCCATGCAAGATCTGGGTTCTTCAGTTGCTCTTCTCAAAAACTTACAAAGAGTTAATTGTGGCATCCATCTACCACTGGAATCTCCCACTATATGACTTGTCAACACTTTTAGCATAAATGGTTTCAGCTCCAGGGTCAAATTATTCAATGAACATAGTGTCTCACCATGCAGCATAGTTAATGCGTAGTCCAGTTCTGTACTTCAGCTGTATCACTAGACCATACTCTTGCAATTATGTTATTGAACATACAAACATCCCTTCTGAACTTTAAAATTTTATTCATGTATGGTCCACCCAAATAGTGAACTTTCTACCACACAAGTAGTGTTTTATGCAGGCTACATTTACAAACAATTATTTCCTTGTCATACATGCATTTCATGGCTATGGCCATTTTACAAGTATACATGACTACACATTCTACTCCATTCTTAAACTGCAACAACTGCTCTGATTCCACTATTCCTGGTGTCAATATCTAACAAAAACCCAGTCTTATCATGGATATACCAGTACTGAGGCTTCTATTAAACCATGCTTTGTGGACTGAAATATTGCTTATGTTTCCCATTCCATCTGAAGAAAATCTCAACTTTACTGAGAGCCAAAATTAGTGTGGCAATCTTGGAGAAGTTGGCTATAAACTGTCAATAATATGATGCATAATTGAGGAACTGCAGACTTCATGCTTTGTCACAAGTTGAGGCCAATTCCACACTACTGCTGTTTTAGGAGAACGCATGGAGGTAACCATCTCTACCCATGATATTATCAAAAAATTGTACTTCTGTGGGCATAAATATACATTTCTCTCATTTCAGTTTAAGCCTGGAATACCATTTTCAAGTTCTTGGCTACATACTCAACCATCTTGCAAAACAAAATGTTGTCAACATAGACCAGGTACTTCTCCTTTTTGCAGCCCCTTCAGTGTAAGTTTCATTAGCCTCTTTTAAAGTGGTGGATGCATTACGCAGGCCAAATGGCATGGGGGAAAACGTATATGAGCTGTCATCCAACTCGATTTGCTAATATCTAGTTTTAAAGTGTTAAACTAATAGAAACCTTCCAATATATCCAGATATTTATCTTTTTGTGGCAAGAGGAAGGTTTCAATGTATTTACTTATCTAAAATCAATACAGAACCTAGATTTAGATTCCTTTTTTTTTTTTATTTCTCACAATCATTATGAAGGTTGATCAAGCACTCTTTCAAGGCCATCTCTCAGTAATGGCTACATTGTTAGTGTT